GAGTTGATGTGAATCGACGGTTTACTACTTCTTCACTGCTTATTGCGATTCGTAGTGGCGGTGTGGAAAAGGAATATATGTAATCGCTTTCCTCACCTGAGCTCAGGAGTTTCCTATACAGTGTTGGAGTAGGAATATATGTAATCGCTTTCCTCACCTGAGCTCAGGAGTTTCCTATACAGTGTTGGAGTAGGAATATATGTAATCGCTTTCCTCACCTGAGCTCAGGAGTTTCCAAAGCTAATTATGGAAATTTACATACGAATTCAAATAGGAGAGTGCAGAAACCAACGCTAAATTTTCCAAAATTTTCCCATTGTCACCAACACATGCAAACTGATTAATTCGATCATCGTTCTGTTCTTCCCGAGTTGAACCAAACGCATCCTCCTCATCATTTCAGCTCATGGAGAGGAAGGAATTCGAGCAACGACTGATGGCGAGTAAATCGACGATTCAGAAATTGGAAGGCCACGTGGAGTCGTTGCGGAATGAGCTCTCGAGAGGTTATGCAGATCAGAGTTGCAATGATAAACCTCAATCGCGATCAGTAAGTCAGGAACGACAACTCGTGATTAGTGTTGGAGGAATATACGTCAGTTTTCCCAGGCTCAGCTCAGGAGTTTCCCTACAATGTATAGATAAAAGTGAACATAAACCAATAAGAATCTCCGAGAATTTTCACAAGTAGTTGACCATATGCATATTTTGTGCCACATCATCTGCGAGCCCCGACAAGGCCAGTCCATGTTGAAGTATTTTTTCCGTCCAGCGAGATAACTCTCCGAAATCGATCTGCTCATCGAACGATGACAACCATCGTACCAAAGCCGCTTTGATATCGGCTGAGAACCTACGCCTTACAGAGGACTTGACTCGCATGGAGAGGGAGGCCGCTGTTTTGAAAAGAGCTCTGGTGATGAAAGTGTCGTCACCGGGGATCGAACCTGCGATCAAACGCCGACAGGTCATCAGAAGTCACGAATTGCAAGTGTCGGTGAAGGAGATGCAAGAAACCGCGAGGAGCTATGTGGAGACTCAACGGCTACGAGATGAATCTATAAGGTGAAAAACAACTGTACAATTAAGTGTGTTTGGATTCTGGAATCATCCAGGGAACCTATAATGTTCCCGGGGGGAACTCGTTTAGAATTTTCCAGGTATGGCTAGGAACACATTATTCTACATTCTTCAGTTTCCAATGTAAATGTCATCATTAGGAACATTTTTATCAAACCCTAGGGGACGTTATTTGTCGAAGTTAGATAGATTTTTGGTATGTTACCCCAACGTTTTCAGGGCGAGAGACCAGATCGATTCTCTGCGTGGTGATTGCGCTAACTACAGGGCTGAAATTGACCGGTTGAAATCTGAGGTGAATCATTTGTCAAGTTCTTTGAGTAGATCTGAAGCAACGTGTAAGGAAGTGGAAAAGGAGCGAGATGAAGCACGGAGAGAGGTGAACTAAATATACAGTGTATGCAAATGTGTGTTATTTTCCGAGATTAATGATAATCGATTTGCAATGTAACGATGGCTATGAACATGTGTTGTGATGATGAGAGTACCCGTTTGGGACTGTGATGATAGCGACAACTTGTTCACTATCATCTGTCACACAATTGCATATCAATTTGATTCAGGCTCGCCTAGCTGCACTTGAGCGTAGCAGCATCCTTGATAAAGCTGGTCATCTGCCAGCTCAGCTCGAACAAGCTCAGGAGACCATAAGAGAGTTGGAAGAAGAGCTCTCGAGGAAAGCCGGCGAACTCAGTGGTGGGTGCGACGTGATGATACTCCTGCCCAGTGTTGGAGGAATATATCTTCGCTTTGTGATCACTCACTTCATTGAGGACGCTGCTCTGGTTCGACATAGATAT